CTCCCGCTCTGCTCTTTGCGCGCCCATTTCCCTTTCTTGATCATCTGAATCTTGGACCCGTCTTGCGCTACTTCTCGCGCCTTTTCTCTTCTCACACTCTGAGTCCAACGCACGACGCCCGACTGATCCGTCGATAACTCCCGTTCGCCAATCAGGTGCGTGGATCAATAGGATTTTCCTATTGCGCAACGAATATGATTGGTTGAACCTAAAGTTCCGAGGAATCAACATGGCGTTCACACAGCACTCGTCTCGAAGTTTGCTCCTCCTGCTTCTCCTCTTACACCTCAGCTTTCCCGTAGCTTTCTCCCCCTTCTGTCTCCCTTGTCGCAACTATAGAACCCGCAAGCGCACCCGCAAATCTCTCTTACGTTCTCGACTCTCAAGCCAACTTCCGGGAAGCAGTGGCTAGGCAGAGTGTTTGGTGCGAGTCGGAAAGTCCTGTCGGGCTGACTATAGGCTGGCCGGTTGCGCGCTGGATCGCCACACGGACTGTGGGATCTGGGCGAACCGTGTCGAGTTTACGACAGCGGGGTGACGATCGCAGTGGTGGGAGTCAGCACGCGGCGGCCGGGATCGTCGGTGCGGGTATGAGGATCGATGAGGGGAGTTGAGTGAGTGATTGGCCCGGGGCCATATTGGAAATAACGGCGAATGCGCCTTTGTTGTTGCAGATCTTTTTTTCTGACAACGCTGAACCTCCTTCTTTTGGGTTGCGTCATCTCTTATCTCGACTCTGCTCCCTCACCTTCCCCTTCTCCTCTATCTTTGAATAATGATGTGTCTCGATGCTTCTCTCCTTCTCTCCCTTTCTCTGTCTTGGATTAGCATGAATTTGTATGCTTCCCTTGCGTGAAAGAACTTCTTCCGGAACTCTTCCATTAGTTTCGTAGGTAATCCTCCTACGCAAGGACCTCGTCTTCTTGTCTTGTGAACAGTGAATGCGTGTGTACTGTGTAAGAGATCCATCTTTTCCTGTGCATGGCTCATTTTTCGCACCTTCCACAGTGGATGTATGTATGGAGATGTGTGACCCCCTTTTTTTCCATTGATTAGACGATTATCGTCGGGATTTTGTTCGAGAATGCAAGAGTGTTTAGATCTGTAGATCTGAATGTACTGCGCATGCCATCTGCCTTATGCTGCACGACATCAGCAGCCGAGCTACGGAGCGGGCTCGAGAAACAAGGCGCCTGGGATCAACGTCGCGCTAGCTCACTAAACCAGAGCCGTGGATCGGTCCCTTAGTTATATGCATGACCTAGCTGTGGAAGTGTCTTCTTTCGCCCTCTCTCTCTCTCGTGTTGAAAGGGATTGATTGTGAGTTGCGCGAGTGTTTTCTTTTCTTGATGACGTCGCAAGGTCTTTACAATTGATTGATATGTGGACTGACCAGYACCCTCCKATCGGGCACCAGYCTCCCGTACCTCCCGTCCCAACACGGCCTTTTCCCTACAACGAGGGAAGGACACGTGTATGCGAGTGGGACGTACGAGAAGCTGTTGCACAAATCGGCAGGCGGTATTACTTCCCTCCGGCAAATCGTTGCTCAGGGTTCGTGGAAGCTGGGTTTGCATTATCGATACGCACTTCCCACCTTACTCGATATTGTTGCCATTCAACGAGTTGATCGTCATCCCGTGGACGGTAGTAGAACCCTACTGGCCGCGCACTCTATGCACCGAATGTCAGCGTTTTGAGCGCTACGAATCCAGGGGTTTCCACTACCATGTGCAGAGTGAAGATGAGCATAAAGAAAGAGCCACGCGGCTGAGACCATCCACGTCAGACTCGGAACTGACCAGCGAACGACGACGAGATTTGATACGAAAACGAGACACGCGAAGCATGCCAAAGCCTTTCCGTTCTAAACGATGGGCTGTAACCCGGTGGGAAGCCCGACAATACTTTTTGGATTGAATTTGGAATTTTTTTCTTTTTGCGCCGTGCCCGCGCGCGCATTTCGCGACGCACGAAAGCAATCGACTTGCTTCATCGGACCAACATGGGGGATTTCAGTTCCATTTGTGTCCCCACACTCAATTTCCAAAAATCCTTGGCACACCCCATCTTGCTGTTTTTCTGGGCCTCTTTCCGCACGCCTAACACTCCGAACGAAAGACAGCACAGGGCGTGAGGTTGCGCGTCACATTTGCTGGGACAAGTACTGGTGGTTTAAAATTGTCCATTGTGAGTATGCCCCAAAAGACCATGTCAGAAACTGTTGCAGGGATGCCACTGGCAGGAAAAAAACTCAAGTCGGCAACGTGAGATTGTGACGCCCGACCTCACACCCAGCACAACTTCCTGATCAGAGTGTGAGCCTGGAAGTGCGAAAAGGTGTGTGCCAAGGATTTTAGGAAAGTGGGGGTGGCGTCCGACGTTGTAACTGAGATCTCCTGTGGCAAGCTCCGGAATACATATGCAGGAGTGGAGGTGTAGGCTGGAGTCCAGTTTTGCTTCGGGGAACAGAGCTACCGCCTCCGTTGGTTCGGTCGTCCGGGTCGAGGTCGTATCTGGTGCACTGCTGGGACGCTATAGCTATCTCGCTGATTCGTCACCTGCCGACGTCGAACGTCGCAAGTCTCCAAATCTGACGCTGCTGGCCTCAATCGAAGACTATGCGCCCGTCATTCTTCCTCCGAGCGAGTTCGCCAGATGAAGCCAGAGGCTCGGTACTCGTGGCCCTCATACACTTTTAGCACGGGGGTTGGGGCCGGTATGGAGCGATTGTGAGCCAGGGGACGATGGTTAGGGAGTGACAGGGTAGGATGCGGTGATAGGGAGGGGATTCGGTCCCTAAGATAATGACCCCGGGCTCTGTGACGACGTGACACGTGTATTGGCTGGAGTAGGTGGGGAGATGGGGGTTACGTCCCAAGGCCTGGTCGAGGTCTGACTCACAAATATGTTCATTCCCCGTCAAGTAGGGAAATCTGGAGGTTCCGCCCAAGGTCGCGCCGACAAACAAGAGTGCTCCCAATATTCCCGGAATTCCCAATCCCTCAAACACTCGCGGTCAGTAACGTGAAAGGGAACGCCAAAATTCATGATGCAAGCCGGGGT